TTCTGGAGATGAGAAAAACACATGAGGAGAATATAGGTATTTCTAAATGCTTCAGGAATATCCTTGAGGTCAAAGATGTTCATTTATTAATACTTGACTTGGGGAAATTATTTCTTGAACTGGCATTTATTTTTAAAAATCTATTTAATTTGCCATAGGTTTCACCTGGTTAGTACAAAAATGTAAATGAAGTTTTTTGTGAAAAATCTCTAAAAAATAACTACCACATGATTATGAACTAATCTCCTGGATAAATGCCTGTTAACCAGATAATAGATCTATTTTTAACATAGTCTGAGTTCCATACGCTGATAATTACCTGTATGTAAAATAATATCACTGAAATATAGGATAATTTAATGTTAGAAATCATTACCTTGTGACCCAAAATCAAAGATGTTTGTAATTCTTAGTAAAAAGAGCACAATTTATACAATAAATACTGCATTTGTAGAAACAATAGAATTATTAAGGAATCAATTAAACGTACCCTAGATAATTAAGAAACTATAGTACAAAGCTGCATTCTAAATCCCTTAATAGTTTTGATTAAATAATGATATCCTAATGGGTAAAATTATAATTTTTAAAGAATATTAGAATGATCATGCATTTATTTTAAAAATTTCATGAAGAGCTACGTAAAATTCTTAAATTGTACTGGAATGTTAAATAATAGTTACTTTAATTAATTGAACTGTGCCATTCACTCTTTCAACAAATATTTACTGGTTATTTATTGCATGTGTGGTACTAACTAAAATAAAGTTTAAGTAAAACATAAATAAATATAATAACAGGATCTCTATTTGTAATTGGTGTTGGGAGATTTTGTGTGAATGGCATTAAAGCATATGCCAAAATGAACGAAACATAATGTACTAGCAGAAGTGAAAAGCTCTTGGAGAAGCTAGACATAAACTTGTGTTTTTTGTGATGTTTTGGAGGTAATTAAAATATGGGCATTTCATATCTAAAGGGACAGCATAAAGGCAATATTGATAAATTAATTTTATGGAGATTAATTAGAAAGGGGAAGAAGCCTTACCATAATGAGGTAAATGGCTTATGTTATAGAGTTAGGCACTCATTATGATCAGAAAAATAACTGAAATGATGGCACCTGCCCAATAATATGGTATAATAATAAGTAAGAAGAGAAAGAGGTCAATGGAACTGGAAAAGTAGGTGATATATTCCAATGTGAAGAAGAAAACTAGAAGGTATTTGATATATTTTTAAAGTTTGTGTTATGGTATTGATCTGCAATGTCACCCAAAGCTCATGTTGAAAACATGGTCCCCATTGCAGCCAGGTTCAGAAGTGAGACTTTTAGGAAATGAATAAATTTGAGAGCTTGAAACTCATTAGTGGATTAATCCATTTGATGGATTAATAAGTTGAATGTTCAACTATGTAATAACTGTAGACAGATGGGGCACAGCTGAAGGAATTAGGTCGCCAGGCAGGCCTTAGTGGACTATCCCTGGTGTGTGTGTGTGTGTGTGTGTGTGTGTGTGTGTGTGTGTGTGTGTGAGTTATCTGCCTCTGGTTGCCATGAGAAGAGCAGCTTTTCTCTTTCATACCCTTACATCATGATGTTTCTGTCATGGACTCCACCAACTATGGACTGAGACCTCTGAAACCATGGGGCAAAATAAATATTCCCTCCTGTAAATTGCTCTTGTAAATATTTTGGTCACAGAAATGAAAAGCTAACACAGTTTGAGATAATGTTTACTATGGGATTCTTTTCACCAATTCTACATATTCACTATCTCCAACACAAACTCCATTATCATCACCTCTAGTACCTATCATTTTACCACCATCACTTTCACATATACTAATTTCACCATCTCCTCCACTCCTACCATAACTAAACAACCAGAAAATACTGCATTTTTTGAATGCATATTTTGTTATAGCCACCATATCTAATGATTCATACTTAATCCTCAGTGTTTTTATAAAGCAAGAATATTGAATCTGAAGCATGACCTTAAGTAATTTTCCTAAGATCACAAACTAGTCATTAAACAGGCAAATTTCAAACCTGAGTAATTCTGATTCCAAAGGACGTGATTTTTCCAATATTTGCTACTTCTTTAGATACCAAGGGTATGAATTATAGCTAAAATATATGTGCAACGTACAAGTGTATATGGTCAATTTGGGGCAATAAAAATCTAACATGGAGGTAACAGCTGGGTGTAGAAATGGTAATACCCAAATCATAACTTTTGAACTTTAAAGCTGAAATTTGAGGGAGACAGTCAATATAAAGTTTTATGATATGAGAGTCAGTCACTTAGAACCAGACTTGAATCAATGAAAGGAGATTATTCAGATAAAGAAGTCAGAAGGGAAAAAAGAAGGATTTATGAGATACTCCAATATGAATAAGGTAGAGAGAAAAACAAGTCAAGTGAAGCATGGTAAGGGGATGACTGGTGTGTCATAGTAACTGAAAGATGACATGATTTTTTAAAGAAATTAATTTAATAAATTGTCAAAATTATGGTATTCACAATGAAATGCTAGTGGTTCTCACATGAAATGAGAGCAGGATACTAGCTAACATAAGATGTCATTTTCCATGTAGCCTTTTTAACTGTTACAGTATTTTAACCAGATTCCATCCTATAGACAATTAGCAATTACTGAAGTTAATCATTTCTAAATGTTAGCTCTCTTTATTCAGTCTAAATACATCAATCTAGAGTCATAGATAGAATATCCACATGATTATGCTATCTAAAACAGGACACATTTGAAAGTTAGTGCTAAATAAAACTACCTTGGGACAATAGGTATAATTGGGTAGCTTCAAGGGAAACCAAGAAATAAGATCACCTGAGTCATATACATAATAAAGATTTATTTTATTACACAATTCAGATTCTGTAGCCTAGCCACCATAATTGAAATTTTAGCTCAGGTACTCTATAGTTGTATGTGAATTAATAATAGCCATGTGTATATTGGGTTATTGGGAAGAATAAATGCTATGAACTTAAATCATTGAATCTAGTGCTGAGCACACTATGAGTCCTCCAAAGTATTAGTTTTTATTTAAGGAATCTTTATATTCCAAATTGGACCTCTAATTCTAGCAATTACAACAACTACTAAGAACATATGATACAAAAAGAATTTAGGAGACAAAGTATTTCACAACTAGCAAATGTCCTGAAAACAAAACAAGTCAAAATAAACATTTGTAACCAAATAAATTGTCAAAACAAGAGCTAAAAATAAGCCTTTGGAAAACAGACTGACATGGGTCAACTTGCTTTGTTGCTTTCTGTATGAGACAATCTCTGAAGGCATTCAGAGGAGTAGGCATCTAGGTTGTACTCAGTTTGAAGAACTATTGGAAAGTTGTTGAATTCTTAAAAAATATCCATAAATCCATGTTCAAACTAAGCATTGTCTATAGACAAGTATTTAATTTGATGTTAAATAAATGAATGTATATCCTACTAGGATTAATAAAAAGTAAATTCAGTAAGAGCTTTACTGATTTGTTTGTGCCATTATTGTTTTTTCCTCCACCAATAAGCATTAACATTTAAGCTACCATCATGAGTACAGTACATGGAATTTGTTGCCCAAAACTGAATGATAACATTCAGTTTGAGAACCATTTGACTATAGCAAGGACCAAAAATTTTTGTTTTAATGATGGGTCAGACAGTAAATATGTTAGGCTCTCTGGACTGTACAATTTGTTACAGTTCTTCTAACACTACTTTGTAATGTGAAAACAACCACAGATAGAACATGTTTGAATAAGTACAGCTGTGTTCCACGGAATTTTCACTTATAGACATTGAAATATTACATAATTATGTGAATATATTACAAAATATATTCTTCTCTTGGTTATTTTCAGCAATTTAAAAATGTAAAACCAATTATTAGCTCATGATCCATACAAAATCTATAGGCTAGATTTGGCCTGCAGGCCTTAGTTGCTGACCCTTGGACTACAGAATTTGTTCCATCAAGCAGACACTACCAAGGAAGATAAGGCCCAATGATTTACTTTGAAATAGGAGGTCATAAGTTATGAATAAATGGAGGAGTCCTAAATAATACATTCAAATAACTTTTCTAGATGTTTCTTTTTCTTTGCTTAGAACATCTGACACACTATTTTTAGGTATGTGTTCTTCCCATACTTCTACTCCCTGGTATACGCAAATTCTAATGTCAAGTGTTCCATGCGTTCCTGAACATATGCTGCTTAGAAAAATGAAGCATATTTCAATGTTCTTTCTTCATCTTAGAATTACAATAACTGGAATAAAATGAAAATTGTACCATTTTTATGATTTTCATGCTAGCTTTGCTTTTATGAAATTTTATTGCCATCATTTTAATATATCCACAGATTTACATAATACCTAACTTATCTAAAATATCTAGTTGAAAATATCCACAAAAAGATCAGTTAAAAATTCTAGCACCTTCAAGATAAGACTTTATAAATATCAAAGAACAGGAAATCTGTTCTGTAATTACTCCTGATTTAGGATGTGCAGCTTGAGACATTATGTTCTCATAAACTAGCAGAATGGATCTCATCTATTAGAGGTATACTTCTTCATGAAAATGCACTTTCTATTACTGCAAGAAAGACAACTTATTGCAAAACTAAGGACTGAACAGGCAGTCCCTTTATAAGAAAAAAATGACACTTTCAGTATTAAAATGTATCCATTGCAGTATGTTGCCTGTGGTTTCTTCTTTTAATTCAGAAAACAGCGTTTTCATTAAGCATTCAGTTATTGTTGGGATAGTGATTTCTTGGGTAAATTTTAAAACTTACTTCATTATTTTTCTCACTGAATTAACTGGCATTATAGGCAAAGAAGACTTAGAAATGCTGTTTAAGCAAAAATACCACCATCAAAACAGCTGTAAAATGAGTTTTCATGCTTTACAATGAAACTTCATCTGAGAGAAAAGCCATGAATGAAATGCTCTCTCACCTTTTCCTAATTTCAGAATCCACAATGATCTGCCTCTTCTTTTGGGGAGGTGGTGGTGGAAGTTCCTCTTGGGCATGCTTTACCAGGATTTGTTCCCTTGTGGTCACCATAGTTACCGTTTCCATTACAGTTGTCTGCGTTAGTGATGGCTGAGTGGTGGTGACAGTCTGTGAAATCTGTGAGAAGTATTGAAACAGAGGTCAGACATTGCTTGAAAGACTTCAGTAAAGACTGCTTGGAGTAGTGAAGGAAAATAATGAGAAACTGTTCCTGCTTGTTGGTAGATTGACCTTCAGATCAAAATAGCACCATACTGAACCCAAATCAAATTGTTTTATCTGATTTTCGTTATGTTGACTAAAATAACAAAGCAAGGAAATCTCAAAACCAGAAGCAAATTTAGAGTCTCTTAAATTTATTGGTCAAAGTATATGAAATAAAGGGGCAAAGGAGAAAAATTTAGGGTGCTATTCTGATATATAATGCCACATTGTTTTAAAGTGTTTACAACATTTACAGAAATTTTACTCAAGTATCTGGATGCAAATTCCAACATGTGGCAGACTGCAGATGTTTACTAATAGATTCTTAACAATTTAAAATGAAAATACTGGTGGAATTAAATTGGCCAAACTATCCTATACACATATATGAATAAACTGTAGTGAATTCACTATATATATATATATATATATATATATATATATATATAATCACCTAATTTTAAAATACATGTGTGTGTGTGTGTAACCTAATTTTTAAAAAGCTATAAATAAATAGAATAATGACCAATGGAGAAGAGTAAAGGGAATAGGGGACAAGAGGAGGGGAAGAAAAAGGAATTACTAGGGACTAAAGTTAAGCAAATTATATTCCATGCTTGTATGCTTATGGTAAAATGAACCCCAACATTATATATAACTATAATAAACTAATAAAAAACTATACTAAAAATAAAAATAATACCTGGATATAAGCAAATGTATAAAACCAAAAAATATAAAATAAAAATGGTTTATAAAAAGTTTTGATTATCATGTTTTGTCACATACTTTTAAATAGTTATAAATTATTTTTAATCAAATACATGAAATGTCTTTTCAAATTACTATATAAGGTTAAAACAAAGTATCTATTATTTAATACATGTTTTATGATCAACATTACTCAAATGCTAAGAATAACACTCCTGTTTTAAATTAGTAAATATATACCAATATTTGAGGTTCCAAATTCATCATTGGCGATTCAGTTTGTAATCAATTTCATTTTCCATTCATAGTTTGTTTTTTTTGGGGGGGGTGACATAGTTCATCAGCCTCTGGAATAATATGGATTGTGACACAAATCATGGACAGTCATCATCTCAATACATAGCATTGAGAAGTTGTATAATGACTCACAATATTCCTCATATTATATATATATATATATATATATACACACACACACACACACACACATTTGACTCACAATATTCTTCATATTATTTGACTCACAATATCCTTCATATTATGGACATAAAGTTACCTTTGGGTTATTAAACACTACCCTTCTGGTAATCCAACTTATTTGGAAGATCTGTTTCCAAGGAAACAACAAAAGGCCTGCATTGGATTGGCTTTAAGTTACAAGCACAGGGCCAATAATCTGGCTGGGGTCAAGATTAGTTTTATTGATTTTTCTGAAGTTCAAGAGATATGGGAAGGGTTTAGAATAATCTCCCTGCCTCATCCAATGATGACTGATCCCTTCAAAGGGAAGAAATGATAGAAGCCTCAGGGTTTTGTTATTTTAGTTTCCAAATTGGCAATTAGCAGTGAAGAGATAAATTCCTTTGCCATGGTACCCCACATAAAAATTGCTTTGACATACATATTGATAAAATGCCATCCTTTATACAAACCACAGCTTTACATAGGTGAAGAGGGAGGAATTTCTATTTTGATAAGCTATTTAGGCTACCAATAAAAGGACACTAAGAGATACTTAATTGTTACATGTATGAAGCACCCAATTTATCTTCTCTAAGATTTTCATAGTCATTCAGAATCAATCATTGAGCCTCAAGCAACTTGAATTATATAGTGCCATAATAAGATACATAAAGAGAAAGCAATTGTTTTTTTTAAATGCTTAAAATACAAACAACATACTTGCATGCAACACAAAGTGACCATTACATGAACAAATTTAATTCACTTGTAGTTAAAAAGAAAATGTAATTTATATTTGGATTCCAAGAGCATTTTATTGTAATATTTTTTAAATTATGAGCACACTTTTCTTTGCATACAATGACTCCTAGAAGAGAATACTTTCAGATTAGGAGATTATCTAATTTTGAATGTACAGGCAGCAGAATACAGATTCTGAAATTATAAAACTATTCCTTTTACAATTATATCTAATCTTTGCTACTAAACATTAGTTTTGAAATTATTTCCTACATATATTAGTAATATTTTCTTATTGGTAAGTATTAAGAAATTAGATAGATATGCCTATGGAGGGTATAGTAAAGGGAAATGACACCATAATATATATGAAACTGCATTTAAGAAGATAGTAAATCTTATGAAAAGAAGAAAATATTAATTTTTAATAGACCAACAGTAAGGCATGGATCAATAATTGTTCTATACTCTCATCACTACAACATTATAATTGAAATTACTACTTCATTTCTTTTGGGATAGAGAAATAAGAAAACAACTGTACACTGACCCTGTAAATACAAGGTTGTAGTCATTATATATAAGAAAATAATAACTATTCTCATAACCTACTCCTTATAATTAGAATATAAAACAATTGGTCATGTATTAAATTTCCCCACGGCTTTTAAAAATTACTCAATTATGTGTTAGAATCATTATAATATAGACAGGAGAGGGATTATGAAGGCCATTTAACATAACCTCCTGCTTACTGTAAGATTTGCTACTTCCAGAAGCTGATAATGTTTTCCTTAGTATGGCAGCAATCTTTCTCAGTGGCAAAGGTGTTAACAACTTATGGAAGTCTTGTGACTTCCTCCAGTTAAAATATGTTTTGAATCTTGAAACACAGAAGAAATTGAGTATTTTTTCTACATGACAGTTTTAAAAAATTTGAAGCCTGATAATCACAACTCTCTCATTCCCAAGTCTTATATTGTCAGGTTTTTTTTGTGTGTGTGTGCTAGAACTACCTTTATATGACTGATACTTTAAATTCAGTTTCCTGACTTTGGACACCATCTTCAGTCAAAGCAATCTAAAATTGTATAATTTATCCAACACCTAAACTGTAATGTTTCAATTAAATTCCAATTAAGTTGAACAGGTACACATTGGAAGACATTTAGAAATGAGTAGAGTGGAATCTTTGCCTTTAGGAATTTTAGCAGGGAAGGCAATAATCACAAGAATAATTGTGAAATGTGTGCCATATGAAAATTTTCAATATGTAAAATAACTACATGTACTGAACATACAGTAATCAATGAAATTTCTTTTGAAATGTTAGAAAAGCAGATTTTCCTCCGTGAGCATTTTAACATTTCAATTTATTTTGTTGCTGAAGGCTGTATATAACATTTTCCCTGTTCATAGGGTTATTTTTAACAGTAATATAATGGAAACAACATTAAGTCAGTAGGTGATGGTTTAAGTAAATTATGGTACATGAATGTGATAAAGTATACATATTGCTACTATTTCAATATTTTTGGAAAATGTTTGCATGATTGCATTGAGTAAACATTGGAAGATATAAACACTGGAACATATTTTAAGTAGAAAAATTATAATTTACATGTATAGTATATATTTCTGTATTATTTTGAGTTTCCAAATTTCTACCACAAAATATTTTGGACAAAATGTTGCTTTTATAAGCATAGGAAAGTTACAAAGCTTCAGGAAAGTTTTCCCAAGTTGTTTATATATAATCATATGTAGGTTTTAATATATTTGTATATGTACATATATACACATATGTATAAACATACATTCTGAGTGTTCATTAACGTTTAATCAGTATTCATAGATTGTACTTCTACACGTTAAAACATACTACACAATTGTAACAACATCTTTAGCTGGTAATTGTTAACCAAGCTTAAAGGTATCTCCACAAACATGTTAGCACAAGGCATAAAAATCTGATGGTGTTAAGATTTATATCTCTAAGCAATGGAAAAGATTTATATGCTGAGCTGTGGGAGAATCGTGGGATAAAAGATCAGGTGCTCACAAAGAAGGCTGTTATTAAGCACAAGGTTATAAAATGCTCTATTTCACAAAAGAGGACAAAGCAACTGCCATAACTAAGTGTAGCATACAATAAGTTCTAAAGTTCATGACAGTAGCTTGGTAACTAAATTTTAATATTAATTACTGTCCTGTTTTGATATTGATAATGAGGCAATAAAACTTCTTGAATAGGTACTGACATTGGAATCATGAGCACAATTAGAGTCAAATACTCAGAAGACATCATAAAAGAAACCATTCTTCCCTTTGAAATAAAATATAGGATAATTAAGAAGGTTCATTCTGTAAAACTGCCTCTTCCATTTTATGTATTTTGTTCTTCTTTTCAAATTATCTTTAGTACAAAATATGTCAGAAAGAAGAAATACATCTTAGCTTCTGGATTCATACTAAATACAGAATTTGAGCAACTGTATGAATTAACTGCACCTGCAAAAATTGAAAAGCAATGTAATTTATTTTTTCTCATCCACCTGACCTTCCTCTACATACCATCTGACATGGAAGTAATGAAATAAATTCTATAACTAGTGATGAATATTATCAGGTACATGGTTAGGAAAAGAACTTACATTTATCTTCATATGTTATTTCATTTATTATCGGTAGATATTGAATATATCATATAGATGTTAAGTATCATATCCTTATGCCATATTAACTACATATTCAAGAGTGAAATATAATAATTTTTGAGGCCAGTCTATTTTAAATAGAAAGAGGATTTTATTTTCATAGTCATTGTCCAGCTGCCTCTGAAGTTGATATAGTGAGAGTTAGAATCTTGTCAGTAATCCAAATTTTAATACAAAATTTCCAGCAAATAGAAACATTAGACATTTAGGACTATGAGGACCATATAGATATCTGTCTATCCTCGAATTTTGATTTTGTAAATTGAGAAGGAGAGGTTCTAA